GAGGGGGGAGGGAGGAAGGAAATTTGAGGGAGGGGGAGAGAAAGGAAATTGGAGGGGGGAGGAAGGAAATTGGAGGGGGGGAGAAGGAAGGAAATGAGAGGGAGGGGGAGAAGAAGGAAATGAGAGGGAGGGGGAGAAGAAGGAAATGGAGGGGGGAGAAGGCAATGAGAGGGAGGGGGAGAAGAAGGAAATTGGAGAGGGGGAGAAGAAAAATTGGAGAGAGGGGGAGAAGAAGGAAATTGGAGGGGGGGGGAGAAGGAAATTGACGGGGGGAGGGGGAGAGATTGACATCCATCACACACACACACACACACACAATGCACCCCTTGCACACAGAAAAACACACAATGCATTACACACAGACACACATACACACAAGCACTGCATCCCTTACACACACTCAATGCATCCCTTACAGACACACACACTGCATCCCATACATATACAAACTCACCTTGCAGCCCTTACACATACAAACACAGATTCACACAATGCATTCCTTACACACATCAGGACATTCCCCCCACACACACACACCCCTGTGAACAAACTCATTGGTGGAACATGAAGGTGGACCCTGGGACCCAGACCTTGAGCTGTGTAAAGGCCCCAAAAAATGGAGCTGCTTCCCGTTCTCCCAGAACATTGATTTTGTGACCACAGTTACAAACCGCCTCCAGAGAGCCTGTTCTACACCAGACCAGTGGAGCCAGACTGCAGCTAGAGCCCATCATCATCCTCATCTGGTTGTAAGTAGGCAATCTAGTATATTATTCGTGGCACTAATCTCTAATTTACCTCACATTAAAGGACACTATAGTCCCCAGAACCACTGCAGCTTAATGTAGTGGTTCTGGTGTCTATAGCCTGTCCCTGCAGGCCTTTTATTGTAAACACGGCGGCACTGCAGCACTGTGTTAGTTAACATGGCAGATCATGGGGCATTGTGGGGCATTGTGATGTCACATGGGGGGCGGCAAACTTTCCTTTTGCCTAGGGCGGCAAAAATCCTTGCACCGGCCCTGCAGACACTGCATCCCATGTAAGGGAATCTGTTCATTTTTGGATACGAATGCTCCCCCTGTTCAGTAGTTCATATCGCCCGAACTTTGTTCGGATAGGTGGTCGGGAAATAGAATGGGCAGCATTCTAAGTTTTGCCGGCATTCACTCAACGTTCTAATGGGGTACAGGGGTGGTCCTCGTTCAGGAGACAAATGGATTTTGTTCGTATGAAGTACTCCCAAATGGGAAAAGGGTAAAACACACAAAATAAGTTTAAAAACAAACAAATAGGTGGTAAGTTCTACCACAAGGGGCATGTCGCCTAAACAGCACTCGCTGTAATTTAAAACTACTTGTGACTGGGCAGCTATTACTGCCCAGGCGCTAGTGCAATAAGGGGGACCTGGTACATGGTTGGGAACCCAAATAACTAAAATGGGGGGTGTGACGGACCACTGGCACTCCGCCTGAGTACCTCCACCAATCGATGCTCCTAGTGCTCGCTGAGCACTCCAAGCACTCCAACCGACACCATCAGCACTGCAGACCCCACTTCCTGCGATGCAGATGCGCCGGGGTCTCGCTTTCTCCACCCACCCTGGACCCACGGCCAGGATCCAGCTTCCAGTGGGTGAACTTCTCTTTCCCCAGAGAGCAGGAACAGGAACAAGCTCTTAGCAGAGCTTAGTGATCATACCCTGGGGAGTATAGTGATTATAGCAATCCCCAGAATGTAGTTCTCCAATAGCCCAAACATGAGCCAAGGCTTCAAGAAAGGTACAAGATGATCTGATTTTAATGACCACACACTGGCTTTTATGCAAGTCCCCATGCAAGGGGACATCCCACAGGGTGGGACACAGTACAACTAATCGTTTACAGGAAAACCGTAAATCACACCCAGCACCAACATACAATCCCTCCCCTCTGCTTGTGATATAATTACTGAACACAATGAGTTAATGTAATTTATCACAGGCAGGAAAAATACACTTTTTACACATATGCTGTAACTTTAAAAAAAATGCATCATATTCACATAAAACATACATATTCAGAATCAGCATACTTTAAATATAAACATAACCAAAAATCATGCAAATCCTTCCATTAGTTCAAAAATTAGTCAGAAGTCCTTTGTGACCAAATGAAGCATGGCTTTTCTGCCCAAAACCAGTTCCACAGAGTCTTCTATCCTGGAGATAATTGGGAAGTAATCCAATTATTTCCAAGGACAGAGGCAAAACTCCATTGAACACATGGCAGCAAAAGACAATAAAATACATAAAACTATATAACTGTGCAGCCATTGCATAAAACAGGTACATTCAACATATCCCCAGATAGCTCAGATCTGAGCGCACATTATAACTGAATGGCGTTCAGATCACACACATACAGTTCAATTGCCATGGAACCAAAGTCTTTCCCATAGTCTTTCATTATTCGGATGGGCTCCATGGCATAGCTATCTGGGGTATCACCACTCAAACAGGGCAAGCACCGAATGACCCGGCTTTCGCGTTTTTGCAGGGGAAAATCCAGCGTTTCAACATGGGGCCATAGTCTAAAGGCAAGAGGCTGGCAAGTACTCCTCTCCAGGCACAAGTGGCAAGGTTAATTTTGCCACACATCTTCCCTTTGGGGGGAAGACTAAACAGGTACCTGACCTTCTGTCGGTTAAATGTAATGCTATGAAGGCAAAAGGAGTTAAGGGCTGCGCATAAAACCAATAATTAAAAAGTAAAATCAGCAAATATAAAAACAGCAAATATTAGAGCCAAAATAAAATATGAGTAAATAAAATGAACAAAGGTCGTCCAAATATGAATATTAGATAGTATAAAATGGGAACAGTCTCACTGGTATATTGTGTGGTCCTCAGATATTGGTCCGTCCGTGTGAAAAATAGTCCATATATGTGGAGAAAACAGACAAGAGAAAAAGCTGCCAATGGTGAAATATTGTAGATCCAGATGGGGTATATAAATGAAGGAAAAGTATTGCACTAACATTTGTTGGAGCTTGAACCAGCTCTAGGAGAAAGGGCACTTAGTGGTTTAATCCCCACTATAGGATATACTGGAATGGTCAGTCCGTCCGTCCGGCTTGGTATTCCTTCAGGCTGCTTTAATGTAAGCTAGGACCAGCTTAGATGTAGGAGACTCTTTATAGTTGAGGATATATAAGTCCGTCTCTCAGGCTTGGGATCCGTTGTTATCCACAAAATATATAAAACAGCAGATAGTGCTCTCAATTGGAACAATAGGGTATTTTAAATAAGATAAATTATACTTACAAAAATAGAGCAGACAAATACTGCTCTATTGCCACAGCGCTGGTGGAATTATCCCCACCTAAGGATTTCTTGAGACGGGATACACTTGAGAATAATAAAATGGTTAAATAAAAGAAAAAAATAAAATAAAATGAAAATATAAAAATTATATAAAATATATGTTAAAAGAAAATGTATAAAAGGATGCCAGGAAAAGTAGAAGTGTATAAAATACAATAAAAATGAGTATAAGATTGGTCCTGTAAAAAGGTAACCAAAAATAACTTTTATTGATTAAAATACACTATTTAAAACCATTTACGCATTTCACCTATGAGGTTTTATCAAAATGGTAAAAGAACATTATACTTGGCATAATACAGAATTTATAAGGTTATACAGAGGTTGAATTTGGCGCCAAAACCTAATGCACCAATCACAGACAAGTATTACAAACATTTGTTTTGTATTTATCAAAACAATTTAAAAACTATTTGGATATGAAAAGAAGAGTTTCACTAAGTATGGGGACAATTTTTTTAGTAAAAACGAGGCTTATAGAGCAATATAATTATCATTGGTCCCAAGGAGCATTGCTCCTCCATGCCGGCCACTGAGCCCTCTGTGCAAGCACGATGCGTCCCAGCGACCCGCCCACAAGTCTTCTCGCGCATGCGCGACGCACGTCATTGAGTCCCGATCATGTGATCGGGACCAATGATAATTATATTGCTATAAAGTCTAATAATTTACCTCCTCACAGACCATATGACTGTTCCATAAACTTACCACCCGGCGCTATGCCACCTAAGGGAGAGTAGCGTAATGGAGGAGTATGTTAAGGACTCATTGAATAAAGGCCATATACGCATCTTCGCCTGCTGGTGCAGGATTCTTTTTTTTGTCTAAAAAAGGTGGTGAGTTACATCCATGCACTGATTACAGGGCATTGAACAATATCACCATTAAGAACGTCTACCCCATTCCACTTATTACTGAATTATTTGAAAGCTTAAGCTAAGCTTAAGTGGAGACGACAGCGACGGGGACGTGATGTAAGACGCTGAGGGGCAAAGCATCTGAGCAAGAGCGGGAGAAACTCTTACATCCCGGGAATATGCCGGAGAGACGCTAGCACCAACAAGTGGGTTACTGCACTATTTTCTGCAGGTTGTTAAACTCGCGACCCCCAGCCTTCACTTGCCGCTGCAGTGTTAGAATCAGAAGTATCGATCCAGGGTTCGAGAGAAAAGATCGCGGCGGCTGATCAAGAACCGCCAGAACTAGACGCTAAACCGGGGAGAGATGAAGTGAAGCCTTAAGGCAACAAAAACCAAGAAGCAGGAGGAGAGTTAAAGAGAGATTGGGAAGCGAATACATCCTGAACGCGATAAGGAGGGACAGAAAGGACAGAGAAAAGTGAGTTGGAAAAAAAAAAAGACGGGGGTGAAGCGAATTAAAGGAAAGGAGAGAATTTTTTTTTTTTAAAGCCTAGAAAGATATAATAATTTACACTATAGACTATATTCTATAAACTTGGAAGAAAAAAGGAAAGAAATGTATATAAATTGAAGATAGGAAAAGTCAATGACTTTTAGGGGGAAAGAACAAACATACACTAAGTAAAATAAAATAAATAGATATTGTAGCGGAGAGGCAGTATAATCCACGATATCTCCGCTGGGTAACAGGAACAACCAAGGATAATCCAGACAGCACTGCAGTAACCCTTCCTTCCCAAGAACTAGACGACACATAGGCTGGGAGTCAACTGAGGTCTTTTAATTCAGCTCCACAATTTATACAAGTCCCCATGCAAGGGGTTTCCTGAGTCCCCTCCCAGGGGCATTCCCAGAGGGGACTACATGGGGGACTTACAATACAGGGCATTTCTCCCATCAGGCACTGCTGCACGAGAGGGATCCTCCCACAGGAATGTACCGTTAAGTGGATTATCCCTCCGTGCAGCAGAACTTACAATTCGCATTAAATTCCATAACTTCATGAATATCTGGTTCATTTAAACGAATGGACATTCGGTAGATAGCTGGGGTCTGAGTGCATCATTCGTGAGATTACCGCTCAGATCCCAGCTAAAACAACCGAACGCCGTACGAAGGAGTACTCACGGATCACGGCTCCAAGTCTGTTTGTCTGGACAACCCGTCGGCGTTGCCATTTTGCTTCCCAGGGCGATAGTGGATTGTAAAGTCAAAAGGCTGCAACGCCAAACTCCAGCGCAGCAGCCTGGCATTGTCTCCTGACACCCTGTTCAGCCACACCAACGGGTTGTGATCCGTGAGTAATGTAAAGGGTTGTCCGTATAAGTAGGGTTGCAACTTTTTGAGGGCCCACACCACAGCCAGGCACTCCTTTTCAATGGTGGCGTAGCTCACTTCTCTGGGTAAAAGTTTTTGGCTTAGATAAGCTACGGGGTGCTCACCCCCATCTGGTCCAACTTGGCTCAGTACTGCTCCCAATCCAAACATATAAGCGTCTGTGTGGACGAGAAAACGTTTAGTTGGATCAGGAGCAGAAAGTACAGGAGAGTTCACAAGCGCCGTCTTGAGCTGTTAAAACGCCTGCTCACACTCTGGGGCCCAGATTCTTACGGGTCAGGTCCGTGAGGGGTTTGGCAAGGGCGCTATAGTTGGCCACAAATTTCTGGTAGTACCCTGCGGTCCCTAAGAAGGCTAGCACTTGGGTCTTAGTGCGGGGGGTAGGCCATTGGGCGACTGCTTCTATTTTAGCGGGTTCCGGTTTCTTTTGCCCACTCTCTACCCGGTGCCCTAAGTACTGCACCTCCGCCATACCTATATGGCATTTGCTGGGTTTTAGTGTCAGTCCGGCCACCCGGATCCGGTCCAGTATGGCTCCTATGTGGATCAGATGTTCGTGCCAGGAGTGGCTGAATATGGCGATATCATCTAGATACGCGCAGGCATACTCCTGGAACCCATCCAATAACCTGTCTACCATTCTCTGAAAGGTAGCAGGGGCGTTTTTCATCCCGAATGGCATGACCTTAAACTGATACAGGCCAAACGGGGTGACAAAGGCCGACTTAGGAATGGCGTCCTCTGCTAACGGAATCTGCCAGTACCCTTTGCACAGATCTATTGTGGTCAGGTACTGGCCCCTGGCCATTTTGTCGAGGAGCTCGTCTATCCGGGGCATGGGATACGCATCGGAGGTCATTTTATCGTTGAGCCACCGGTAGTCTACACAGAAACAGGTCGTTCCGTCCCGTTTCGGCACCAGTACTACCGGGGAGGCCCAGGGGCTGTCTGAGTGCTCTATCACTCCTAACTGAATCATTTCCTCAATTTCTTTGTGCATATTTTCTTTGACTGTTTCGGGTGTGCGGTATGGGGGTTGGCGCAGGGGAGTCTGATCTAACGTTTCTACCTTATGTGTAGCTAACGGGGTATAGCCGGGTAAATTTGAAAACGTGGCTTTCTTTTCCTGAAGCAACCTTTGTACCTGAGCTTGTTCTTGGGGTTTTTACCTCTCTCCTAACTGTACCTCTACCAGATCTCCGCTCCGGCCCTCTTGGTCTAGGAGATCGGATAGAGGTAGATTGTCAAAATCTTCGGTGGCAGGGGCACAGATTGCGGTGACCTCCTCAGTGCGCTCGTGATACGGCTTGAGCATGTTCACATGGAGCATGCGTTTGCCTCCCGTGCCCGTAACCGGGCCGATCACATAGGTGGTGTCACAGATCTGTTCTACCACCTTGTATGGGCCCTGCCAGGAGGCCTGCAGCTTATCTTTGTGAACTGGTCGCAAGATTAGTACTTTTTGCCCCACCTGAAAGCTGCGGTCCCTGGCTCCCTTATCATACCATCTGCGCTGTCGTTGCTGCGCTACCTGGAGATTGTCTCGGACGGTCTTGGTCAGCCTCTCCAGGCGTTCTCTGAACTCGAGCACATAGGGTAAGATAGGGGTGGTTTCATCTCCTTCCCAGTGTTCCCGTATCAAGTCAAGAGGTCCCCTCACTCTCCTCCCGAATAATAATTCGAACGGAGATAATCCGGTGGATTCTTGCGGCACCTCTCGATACGCGAACAGCAGGTGGGGTAAGAACTTTTCCCAGTGCTTTTGGGTGTCCATGAACGTGCGAATCATTTGTTTAAGAGTTCTGTTAAACCATTCACAGAGCCCATTGGACTGGGGGTGATATGAGGAGTTCAGGATTTGCTGTATCCCACATATCTTCCAGAGCTGATGTGTGACTTCAACGGTGAACTGTGTGCCTCTATCAGAGATAATCTCCCGGGGAAATCCTACCCAGGTGAATATTCTCATCAGGGCCTCGGCTACCGTTTCTGCGTGGACGTTGGTTAACGCCACTGCCTCGGGGTATCAGGTGGCGTAATCCACCACGGTCAAGACATATTTTTTGCCGGATGGGCTGGGCTTGGCTAGAGGTCCTATGATGTCTACTGCCACCCTGCTGAAGGGTTCCTCAATTATGGGCAGAGACCGTAACCGGGCTTTGTATCTGTCCCCTCTCTTGCCTACCCTTTGGCAGGTATCGCAGGTCTGGCAATATCGCCTAACATCCTGGGAGATACCTGGCCAAAATAAGTTTTGGGTCAGCCTGTGCTTGGTACGACTAATGCCTAAGTGCCCAGACAGGGGGATATCATGGGCTATGCGTAATAACTCTAACCTATATTTTCGAGGCACTATGAGTTGTTTAATGGGTAAAGATATTGACCCGGACACTACCTTTTCTGCGTGCCGGTACAGTAGTCCTTTGTCCCAGATATATCTTTCCCCCTCTAACCCTGCTTGATCTTTATCAATGCGATCTTTATACACCTGTAACGAGGGATCTAGGGCCACTTCTGACCCAAACTCTATGGAATTGGCCGATGGCATGGCAGTAGGTAGGGGAGGGTCATTGCATACCTGAGCCTCAGAGTGATCGGATGTTGCTGTGGTGCGGGCCTTTGTCGAGTCACAACCGGATAGGCTTCTTGTATTGTGGGTTGGGGAACAAAAGCTGAAGTCAGCTCCCCCAAGTCGTTGCCCAAAATCACATCCGCTGGCAAGTCTTGCATCATCCCCACATATACATTCCCGTGCCCCGCTCCCCAATTCAGGTGTACCTTGGCCGTCGGTACTTTGTAAATGGCTTCCCCGGCCACCCGTACAGCCACACAGTCCCCCGTGAGCTTGGGCTTTGGTACCAAGTGACTTCGGACTAGAGTTAAGGTGGCCCCAGAGTCACGAAGTCCTTGTACCTATCTCCCCTCCATATGTACTTCCTGGCGGTGCCCTTGACGATTATCGGAGGCGGCCTGGATTGGGTTCACCTCGTGTAGGGTGCCTAGTGGTTCCTCCAGGGTTGCCCCCAGCTCTGGGTTTTGGTAGGAGTCGGCCTGTAGACAGTGTACTGCTGCACGGTTGCTTGGCGCTGCATTATTCCAGCTGGGTCTGGGTCGATTCCGTGGGCAGTCTCTCTGAATGTGCCCCTGTTGGTTGCAGGTATGGCACCAAATTGGTGGGCGTGCTGAATACCTGGGGGGTAGGGATTCTGGCTTACCCCTGGTCGCTGGTGAGTTGTGGGGCCCCGTGGGGGGCTGGTTGTTTCAGGGGGGATGACGGCTCTGGTTGATGAGGGTTGATCTCTCCTGTTGTCTTGGAACTCGTCTGCCATGTTAGCCGCTTCCTGCATTGGCTTTCTGTCCCGGATCCAATTTTGTAGATATGCAGGGATGCCATTGAAGAATTGCTCCAGTACCATCAGCTGAAACAGACCCTCCAATGTATTAACTTGGGCGGCCTCCAGCCACCCCTTTGCAGCCTGCTGCAGCTGGTGTGCCCATTCCACATGAGTGTCTTTAGTGGGTTTTTTAATGTCCCGGAACTTCCTACGGTACGCCTCAGAGGTGATTGCATACCGGGCTAGAATGGCCCGTTTCACCTTATTGTAGTCTCTACTATCCTCGTTTGGCACTGCCCGGTATGCTTTGGCGGCTCGCCCAGATAATCTCCCGGCTAGTAGGGGTACTCGGTCTGCAACGTTAATCTCATGCAGCAAACACAGTCTCTCAAAGTCCTGTAAGTAGTCGTCAACGCCACCGTCAGCCTCCACATAGCTTCTAAAGGCTTGATATGGGATTTTGGCTTTCCCTGGGAAAATATTGACTGGCGTTGAGGCTCTTTCTCCGACCTGCTGATTCCCTTGCGTCCTCCTAGACATGATGTACTCCTGTACATCACCGAAAAAGCCTGTCAACCATCTCTGCAGATGGGGGTTCAGGGAATAAAGCCATTCGTGCTCTGAATTCAGCTGTAAATTCGTGGGTTTCTCCCTCCATTTGAGGTGCTGCAGCAGCTGCAGCTCTGTCTCCTTCCATGAGCTCTGTAATTAGGACAGCCTTTGCCTTGTTACTGGCGATTGCTCCTCTTGCTTCCAGCAGCTCCTTTAATGTACTCCGTTTTAGCAGGGCGTAATTTGTTCCCATTCACCGGCTGTTTGTGGGGTTTTGTCGAATGAGCTAATTTCCCGAATTGTTGCTCCTTGATTCGCTTTAAATTCTGCTGAACGTTGCTTTGCTGTGTAGATTCAATCCCGTCGCTTGCCACCAATTGTAGCGGAGAGGCAGTATAATCCACGATATCTCCGCTGGGTAACAGGAACAACCAAGGATAATCCAGGGAATCAGCATACAATAATCCAAACAGCACTGCAGTAACCCTTCCTTCCCAAGAACTAGACGACACATAGGCTGGGAGTCAACTGAGGTCTTTTAATTCAGCTCCACAATTTATACAAGTCCCCATGCAAGGGGTTTCCTGAGTCCCCTCCCAGGGGCATTCCCAGAGGGGACTACATGGGGGACTTACAATACAGGGCATTTCTCCTATCAGGCACTGCTGCACGAGAGGGATCCTCCCACAGGAATGTACCGTTAAGTGGCTTATCCCTCCGTGCAGCAGAACTTACAATTCGCATTAAATTCCATAACTTCATGAATATCTGGTTCATTTAAACGAATGGACGTTCGGTAGATAGCTGGGGTCTGAGCGCATCATTCATGAGATTACCGCTCAGATCCCAGCTAAAACAACCGAACGCCGTACGCCGAACGCCGAAAAACACATTCACCAAAACATAGTTTTAAAATACCGATTATGTATAAGGGAACAAAATACCGAATGTCCCAAACCTCCCGAACGGCCTGGAAGCTCAGCGGTGTTCGTGCCGTCAAGTAGCCGTTTTTAGTACCATGCGCTCGACGACCAAACACCGCTGAGGGAACAAAGGATCCAAGATGGCCGACCGCCGCATGGTCGGTAGTCGAACGACGGCCACCTTGGAGAGCCTCTAATTACCGATTGCAACATCGGTTAATAGGCGCCACATGCCTCTTAGTGTGTGGGCTATTAACTGGTGTTCTGTTCGGTTACCGAACGGCCCGCAAAGGTGCCGTTCGTGAAATGAAAGGGAATCAGCTATCTGCGTTCGGCAGATAGCCCAGGTAAGAAATACAGCATTAACATACATTGCATTATACGCTGGAACACATAACATGAACCCCATACCGGCAACCCTTAAAGAGACAGTACAGAAATAATGTCCAAGTGGCTAGGTTTGCCACAAATATAAAAAAAAAACTCCCGGGGGAAAAAAAGGGGGGGGGGAACCAGAGCAAATAAATTAATAAATAAAAAAACAAAAAGATCATTCCCCCAAACCCTCTGTAAATATATGAAACATCCACACACTGTAAATAAATATTGAAGAAAGTAAATATAAAAGAACTCATTTATTGAAACCACTGTGTTGTAGTGGAAGAGCAATTAACTCTTTAAGCTCTCCTTGCAAAGTAATCCCTGCCTCTAAAAAAGCAAACAGGAAGGGAAAAGAAAAGAAAAGGAGAAAGGAAGAAGAGAAAGACTTCCTAATTAACCATCTCTCAAGATCACAGCACAGGTGGCAAGACAACTAGCACTTGCCCGAACTTCTTATAAAGAACAATACGTTAATGAATTAAAACCGCCAATGTCTTGAAAGTTTACTCTAAATAATTAAGAGCCAAGTGAAACCAAATCTGCTGCTAAAAGAGAAAAAAAAACAAGATGTCAAAACTTTAAAAGAAAAAGTGATAGCTTCAATATTCTCCCCACATTCTAGAAGATCTACTGGGCAGATAAAACTATCCCAGAGCTCAGAAGTCAATAGCTCTACAGAGCAAGAAAAAGACCTCCCATCAGTACCATCTAAGAAATTTAAAAGAAGAACTAATGGCAAATAAAGCACAGATGGAAAGTTACAAGAATAAACTGGAAACCTTGGAAATAACAGTCATAGATGCCGAGGATAGAATCCGGAGGAAAAATCTTCGTATAAGAGGGATATCTGAAGACATCGGCCCCGATCAACTAAATGGTTACCTAATGGCCTTGTTTGAGGAACTGGGCTTACATGAATCCTTAAAAGAAAATATAATTAAAAGAGTCCATAGACTGCAGAAACTCAAGAATATATCCAAGGAGACTCCAAGAGACATAATTATTCGGTTCTCTACTTTTTTTTCATTAGACAGAAAATATCTCACGCATTTAACACCAGCAGATTGGACAATTCCAACTACAGTAACCTGAAAATGTTTCAAGACTTATCAACCGAGACCAGAACAAAAAGAAGAACTTATGAATTATTTACAGACAGCCTAAGGGGAAACAAATATAAAATATAATTCAGGTTACCCTGTAAGGTCAGTGAAGCAAGGAAATGGCTAGAATCTCACAATATGGGCATGAATTCAAGATAAAAAAGAATAATAACTTGTGTCCCGGGGTAAATCAAGGACGAAAGATGACCTTGTGGGAGGGGGTGGTTGACAGGAGGGTATTAAATAAGTTAAGTGTTTAATCATTTATTAGGGGAACAAGATAAAGATAGCTTTCTTATTGGGTTTAAAACTTAGAGGGAAGGTAGACAATAAATATCACTTTTTTTCTCTCGATATTTATCACTTTAAAGGGGACAGAGTGTTGAAATTATAGAGAAATAAGGAAAAGGAGCGTATATCTCACATATAAAATACTGTAGAAAATGGGAAAGCACACTTAAAGGTCAATACACATTGGGAAATGATTAAATAAAGAATAAGAAAGTAGGATTGTATAAGGATTAAGGAAACTAATTAAACAATAGGATACACTTTACACAAAAAGGAGAGAGAAAAAAGGAAGGGAAAGGATCATTTTTTCTTTTATTTTTTTTCTTTGCAAATACTGTACATACTTAAGGGTTATTAGCCTCACTTAACCCCTTAAGGACACATGACATGTGTGACATGTCATGATTCCCTTTTATTCCAGAAGTTTGGTGCTTAAGGGGTTAAAAGGAACACAATCATCTTTTTAGAAATATATACATAACGTTAGAAGGCTTTTATTGTGCGAAAGGCAAAAGAACGAAGTAAAATAATGGTATACATAAAGCACTTAATAGAAGATAAGAAAATTGTACACTAAGCTAAATAGATAAATATTTTTATTTTTTCTGGAGTTTTTTGCTACCTCTTCCCTCCTTTCCCTTCCTCCTTACCCTGAGACTGAATTAAGATTAGGAAAGATTTTGTTTTGGGACCACTTCTATTTACCATATTTATAAATGATCTTGAAATAGGCATTGAAAGCCATGTATCAGTGTTTGCAGATGACACAAAACTTTGTAAAGTAATAAAATGTGAGCAGGATATTGCTTTGCTGCAGAGGGATTTGGAAAGATTGGGGGACTGGGCACCAAAATGGCAGATGAAATTTAACGTAGAGAAATGCAAAGTTATGCACTTCGGGGTTAAGAATGCACAAGCAACTTACACACTAAATGGTAGTGAATTAGGGATAACCACACACGAGAAGGATTTAGGAATTGTTATAGACAACAAATTAGGCAGCAATATGCAATGTCAATCTGCAGTTGCTAAGGCCAGTAAGGTTTTGTCAGGTATAAATAGGGGCATAAATTTACCGGGATGAAAACATAAATTTTACTTACTCTTTATAAATAAGCTGGTAAGACCACACCTTGAATATACTGTGCAATTTTGGAAATACCTGTTCTAAAGAGAGATATCATGGCACTGGAGAGTCAAGGCGAGCTGAAAAATTGATAAAAGGAATGGAGCATTTTAGTTATGAAGAAAGGTTAAAAAAAAAAAATATGTTTAGTTTGGAAAAATGGCACATGAGAGGGGATATGATAACTTTATACAAATATATTCGGGGCCAGTACAAACCTTTATCTGGAAATCTATTCATAAACAGGGCTATATATAGGACACAAGGTCACACATTTAGGCTGGAAGAAAGTAGATTTTATCTAAGGAAAAGAAAAGGTTTTTTTACAGTAAGAACAATAAGGATATGGAATTCTCTGCCTGAAGAGGTGGTTTTGTCAGAGTCCATACAGATGTTTAAACTGAAATTGGATAAATACTTACAAAAACATAACATACAGGGATATAATTTCTAATTAGTGGGTAATAGCTGATTGATCCAAGGAGACATCTGACTGCTATTTTGGGGTCAAGAAGGAATTTTTTCCTAGTTTGTGGCAAAATTGGAAGCGCTTCAGACCAGGTTTTTTGCCTTCTTTTGGATCAACAGCAAAAACATATGTGAGGAAGGCTGAACTTGATGGACGCAAGTCTCTTTTCAGCTATGTAACTATGTAACTATAGTTACTTAGATTTACCTTTCCTTATGGAATAGAAATTAATAATTAAAGTCTGTTCTTGTTAGTATAACTTTGAAATAGATAGGATATTATAACCAACAGCTCCCTGGATCCCTTTGGATTCCTATGCCTTTACCTTGTTACCACCCAATCCTGCTAGGTCTAAAATTAGACACAACCTCCCACTCAGCTAGCTCGAAACTCAAATAAACTAAATATAGATAGGAGAATGAATCTCTATAGGAAGGTGGATAGGGGACTTTTAGTGGAAAGCTACTTTTTGTTGTTGTACGTGCATAATTTCTATGAATGTTATTCAAATTGTTTCCTTAGGCAGGGAGACCCAATCTACGAGAGGCTTTTTAAAGATTTGACATGACTAAAGTTGGACTAAAATTTATGACACTCAATATCCAGGGAATTAATCTACCACAAAAAAAGATTAGCATTAACAGAGTGGTTAAAGAGAAATAACATTGATATATGTTGCTTACAAGAAACACATTGTAAGTATAATGATGCCACAAGCTTAAAAAATAAAACACTATCCTGTTCTGCAATCAAAAAGCAAAACGTTAATAAATGAGATGCTATTATGGTATCAAACACAGTAAAATATGAAGAATTTTATAAATTAGCAGATAAAATGGGAAGATTTATTTTCTTAATATGCAAACTAAATGATAAGATATACTCTCTTTTAGATATCTATTCACCAAATAAGAGACAGATGCACTTCTTGAATGGGATACTGGCACAGGTACACAACCTGATTCAAGGATCCTTTCTATGTATGGGGGGCTTTAATAGTGTAGCAGATCCCACCATGGATAGGAGGACACAAAAAGGTAAACAATTGGATTCATCGTCCAATTGCTTGGCGAAGGCTTTCCAAGAGACTCTTGCAAAATTTCAGCTTTATGACGTCTGGCGAACTCTGAATCCAGTGGATTTAGATTTCACATATTTTTCTAAACAATACCAGTCTTATTCAAGACTGGATATGTTTTTAACCACAGCAGACTTAATAAGAAATTGCCAGGAAAGTACGATAGCCTCCTTTGCTTGGTCGGATCATGAAACCCTTATTTTGATTATTGAAGCCTCTTATATAATGGAGAGAAATCATTGGAAAATCAAATATTTCTTGCTAGAAACCCCAGTAACCATAAAGAATTGGGTGATAGAGAGGAAAGATACTTTAAAGACAACTGGAACAAAGAGGTAGACCCTTCAACAAATTGGAGTGCTTATAAATGTGTTATCCGTGGTCATTTAATAAAAATGGAAAGCCAACGTAAAAAAAAAAAAGGTCAAAAAAGAATCTCTGACCTGTATATTGATCTGTATAAATTAAATATAAAATATAAATTAAACCCAAATTTAGAGACAACAAACCAGATAAGTGCAGTTAAGGCAGATATAAAGGAACAACTGATCATGAGAGCAAATAGGCTAATGGTGAGATTTAAACAAAAATGTTATTATCTTGGAAATAGGGCGGACAAATTACTAACAAATCAATTAAGAAGGGAAGACGCCAAAGCAAGGATTAGTAAAATTATTACTGAGAAAGGGATATCCCTAAGCCCGAGGGAGATTGGGAAAGCGTTCTTGGACTATTACTCCTCATTGTACAATATAGCGGATGATAAGCAAACTAGACCAGGAATTAAATAGTACTTAAAGGAGCTTAAGCCCCCGACAATAAATCTGGAACAAAATTCTAAGTTAGAAGCCCCATTTAACATAATAGAGGTTCAAAAAGCAATTGACAGATTGAAAAATAACAAATCCCCAGGCCCTGGTGGATTTTCTAATTTATTTTATTTTAAAAAAATGTCCCCCATTATAGCATCATACTTAGCAGAGACTTTTAATGAAATTAGATTAAAAAAAGCTTTCCCTCAGAAATGTTGCAAGCTAAAATAGTACTGATTCCAAAAGAAGACAAAGACAGAACAAGAGTCATAAATTACAGACCTATATCGCTCATTAACTGCAACACAAAAATATACTCTTCAATACTTGCTGAAAGATTGAAAGGAATACTGCCACATCTAATACACCAAAATCAAGCGGGATTTACACAAAACAGATACGCTAGTAATAATACCAGGAAAATAATAGATATATTAAATTACACAACTACTAAAGCTATTCCCACACTGGCCCTGTCATTGGACACAGAGAAAGCCTTTGACAGGGTCAGCTGGCAATTCCTAAATTAAGTATTGAATGAGTTTAACTTTGGTAAGTTAATAACAGATGTCATAATGGCACTATACTCCACTCCATCTGCAATAATCTCAGGTCAAGGATTCTCAACAAATACTTTTAAAATGAATAACGGCACTAGGCAAGGCTGTCCCCTTGCTCCAATGGTGTGTATCTTAACCTTAGAACCTTTGCTTCAGAAAATAAGACAGGAAATTAACATAAAAGGAATAAAAATAAATAACTTAGAATTTAAATTATCAGCATATGCAGTGTAAGGATATGAAGTAGTTAACTCTTTTTGCATTATATGCTTTAAAATAATGTTTGAAATAATTATGCTGACTTTGGCAGATGTATTCTGTAACATGCTCTGAGAGGCCTCACTTCTACAGGATGTATGACCTCGCTCGACCTCAGGATGTTCCTGTCCCCTCTTTATTCAAATGCTTATCTTTTTAATGTCAGTACAAGTATGTACTATTAACTATAAGGAAGCGATAAATCTCGCTGCTTGCGTGACAAACTGTATATAAATGCTAGCTTTGAAAATATACTCATTGAGAACTTGTTAGAGCATGCTTTCATGTCTGTCGTTATTTGCTAAACAAGAAATCCCATCAATTGATGTGGTGACCGGAGAATCGAGAATCGAGGGGAGTTGAGTCCAGAACAGCATTAACCATTTCATGCAGATTACATTATTTTAATAATCACATCCCCGAAAACTTTGCTGAAACCTTTATTAGAGATATTACAGATATATGGGAAAATGTCAAATTATAAACTAATTATAGAAAAATCACAAGCCATGACATATAGCATAGACCCTGAACAAATTGCCGTACTAAAACACTCTTATGCCTTTCATTGGCCACAAGAAGGGTTAAAATACCTGGGAATAATGATACCTAATCAAATACGAAATTTAGCAGAATTCAACTTTGGGCAGCTAATAAAGGAGTTAACTTTAAAACTGAAAGCCTGGAAAGACATCTTTATCTCATGGATGGGTAGAATGAACATAATTAAATCATACATACTACCCATTTGGAATTACAACTTTAGGATGATTCCAGTTAAACCACCATATAAATATATAAAACAATTTCAAGTACTGGTGGAAAATTTCCTTTGGAGTAATAAAAGGCTGCATATTCTAGATTTCACTTGTATCAGTAGAAAACTCCGAGTGCAGTAAACTACCCAGATATTTTCAGATATCAGTTGGCAAATAGCCTATCTCACGCCTCTCAAATATTATTGATAGTCCAAAAAGACCAAGATTGGTACAAAATAAAATAAAACTTATTGAATGTCGATAATTTAGAAATCCTGTTTTGGTGTAAACAATCAGAATTAGATACAATCTTGATTAAAGCCGACTGTTTAGTTTTGACAAATATAATTGAAGAATGATCTCAACTAAAAAAAAGAATGCAAATTGTTGATAAATGAGCGCTGTCCAGCCCATTAGAAGTGCTGGAATACAACATTATTGATTTTAAACTTCCACTAAGTCTTCAAAAAAAAAAAAAAAACATAAGAATTCAGGACTTATACTTATTAAGAAAATGTAAAACCTTTACCCAGCAACAAAAGCGAATTTGGTTGTATAGTTAAAGAACATTTCTCCTTAACTAGAATCAAATACTACTTGGGTACAAAAATGATTGACTTACAAGATAAAAAACTAAAAGATCAATTTGATAGACTTATGTGCACCAATTCAAATAAAAAAAATTGTGAGAGCGTGGTACGATCTTATCGAGCTCCTGACTCCAATTAGGAAGGTTTAAGCTTTAGAGACATGGGGAAAGGAATTAGCATGCCAAATAGCTAGAGAACAGTGGTGGGATAGTTGGTCCCAAGTAGGCAAGATATCACATTGTTTATCAATACAGGAACTTCACCTGAAAGTTGTATATAGATGGCACCTATATCCTGAAAAATTATTTAAATTTAAAGCCGAAGACAACTCACTATGTTGGAGATGTAACAAACAGAATGGCAACCTGCTACATATGTGGTGGGCCTGTGAAAAGATTGATAAGATTTGGCGAAAAATCTTCAAGATTTGAAGAAACATCCCCTATCATCCCCCCTGAGTGTATCATTGCTTCCACTGTCCTTTCGTTGTCTTCTCCACTGCTTGGCGCCATCATGGAGGCTCAGTCTCAGGCGGCCCGCAGTAAACCACGGGACAGATTGTTCGTTCCATTGGGTGAAAGGGTAAATGTCATGAAAGTGTTTCATAACAACGTGACTGCTGGACAGCCGGGAATTAATAAATCCACATCTGCGATCATGAGATCATTCTGGTGGGATTCCCTCAGGAAAGATGTTAAGGAGTATGTGCAGGCCTGCTCTGTTTGTGTGGTTTCTAAAGTACCTCTAGTAACTATCTAGCCCCATCCCAAAATATTTATTATAGGTTAATCAGAGTAATCCTATGGTATGCTATAATTGTAACCAAGAAGGTCATATTAGGAGATGTGAGGAATTACCTTACCCAGTGAAAGGGAAAGAAAGAAAATGGCATTTTGCCACAGCATATTAATGTAAACAGAGTAGCAGCACTAGAAACTGAGGATACACCTTCATCTCAGCCTCACATATCAACATATACGAAGAGTGCATACGCATGTTAAATGCCAGTGAAAGAAAGGTGAAACTAATTATTATTTATTCATTGGATGTTGTATGTTTTTATATTATTAAAATTTTTGTTTTGTGTTATTTCCATTATTAATTGATTATTATTTTCTTCTTTCATTTTTCGCTTCTTTTTATTCATAGGATCACTATAGGGTCAGGAACACAAACATGTATTCCTGACCCAACATTGTTTTACCGACCATTTAGGTGGCTTGCCCCCCCCCTTAGTCTCCCTATAAAAGTTTAAAACTCACCTTATTTCAAGCGCTGCGCAGATCTGCCGGTGATGGCTCCGCCCCCCTTTCTGACATAATCAAAATGGCATGTTTTTACCCAATCCAATGCTTTCCCCATAGGCTAAAATCACCATGGGGCGGGGCCAAATGTTGTTTTGGCCAATCAGGACCTCCTCATAGAGATGCATTGAATCAATACATCTCTATGAGGAAAATGTAGCATCCCCATGCTCAGCCAGTTGCGGATCCGAGGGGGGGGCAACGGGGCAATTGCCCCCCCCCCCCGAGATACTCCCCTGCCGGCTAATGCAGAAATAGATAAAGAAATGTCCCCTTTATTTTATTAAGTAAAGAAAAATATTAAAAAGCCTCCCTCCTTCCCCCCCATACAAACACTGCCCCCTATACACACACTGCCCCACAGACACTGCCCCCATACACACACTACACACACTGCCCCACAAACACTGCCCCCATACACACACTACACACACTGCCCCACAAACACTGACTACCATACACACACTGCCCCACAAACACATACAAACACTGTCCCAAAAACACTGCCCCCATACACACACTACCCCACAAACACTGCCCCCATACACACACTACACACACTGCCCCACAAACACTGACTACCATACACACACTGCCCCCCATACACACACTGCACACCGATACACACACTGCCCCCCATACACACACTGTATACCCATACACACACTGCCCCACACAAACATACAGTGCCCTATACACACTGCTGCCCCCCATACACACATTGCCCCCCACACACATGACCCAACCATACACACACTGCTCCACACATACAAACAGTGCCCCCCATACACACACTGCCCCACACATACATACATACAGTGCCCCCCATACACACACTGTCCCCCACACACATACAGTGCTCCCCATACACACACTGCCACCCATACACACATTGCCACCACACACACACTGCCCCAAACACTCATACACTGCAAGCCTCACACACATACACACACAAACACACACACACTGCAACTCTCACACACACTGCCACCCTCACGTACACACTGCACAGCTCACACACACACTGCAGCTCTCTCAAACACACATTGCCCCACACATACACTGCCCCCTAACACACACTGCAACCCTGACATACACTGCCACACTCACACACACACACACACTAAACCTTTCACACACACTACACCCCTAACACATACCACTGCTCCTATGACCTATATCCCAATAGACCCCAGGTAAGTTGTCAAACTGTTCTTAAACGGTTTGACTACTTACTCTGGGATGGGATCCTAGCACTACTGGCACCATAACTACTACACTGAGCTGTAGTGGTTATTGTGCCTGGATTATTTCTTTAAACAATCAGTAGTGGGGAAAGTGATGGAAACCATGTTAAAGGAAAGGATTGTTGAACATCTAAAAACACATGGATTTCAAGATCAGAGACATGCGTTTACTTCAGGGAGATCATGCCAAACTAATCTTATTGACTTTTTTGATTGGGTAACTAAAATTATAGATCAGGGTGGTGAAGTAGACATTGCTTACCTAGATTTCAGTAAGGCTTTTGGCACTGTTGCACATAGAAGGCTTATCAATAAACTGAAATCTTTAAGTTTGGATTCTGTGACGGTAGTATAAGGTATCACCGTCAAGAATTTCCTTCTTCCCATAAAAGAAAAGCACTCAATATTCCATAAGCAGAAATATCCCTGGAATCGCTGAATAATCCACACATGAGCCAAAGCTTAATGCTGGAACAAGACTGATTTACTGGCACACAGAACTCACAATTTATGCAACACAAAACTCCTCCTCTGGGCCAGGCTAGATAATTGAGTTTCTACAATACACAAAGCTCAATTATCTGCTGGCCAAAAATATTACAGTTTTTAACAATTTTAGAAAAGTACTTTTTATGCCACATACAAACATAATTTCAACATCCCTGGGTAGCTGAGGATACTGGTAGTCATATATCAAAATCTCACGAATTTCCGTTCCTTAGTTTCCGTGTCGCATCGTGTGGAAGTTTGACCAGCTCGTCATGTGGAGGTATCCGATTTAGAGTTCCAGAGAATCAGTAGCAAGAGCCGGTCTCCGTTCGCATCTAACTACACGAAAACCACCGTTCGTATGGTGCAGCTGGTTACCTGTAAATGCTCCCCTCATTCGGTAGATTCCATCTACCGAACGCCAGTTGGATTCGTGTAGGGGAACGTATTCATCCAGGACTTCCGTGGTGACCGGGCGTTCGCATGTTTGCCGTGCCGAAATTAGTTCCATGCAATTAATGCGTAAGCCCCGCTGACCGCATTCGTGAGTTTTAAGATGGCCGACATCCTTTGTTCTCGCCACGTGTTCGTATGTCGAATGGCGGCCACCTAGTAGCAATTAAGTCGCGGTTTTCTCTGCGTTCTAATGCTAATTGCTACCCAGGGTGTTTGGTCTTCTTTCAGTAAACGAATACATTTATTCCCTACATATTGAACCAAACTAATACAGGCATTTAAACAGCAGGCAGGGGGTTAAACTGAAAGCACACAGGTAAATACATAAAAATCCTTCACAGATTCCAATATTGTTGAATGGGTAAGGCAGTGGCTGAGTGACAGGCAACAGAGGGTTGTAGTTAATGGAATATATTCGAAGCTTGGACTTGTCACCAGTGGGGTACCTCATGGATCTGTACTTGGACCCATTCTCTTTAATATTTTTATTAGTGATATTGCAGAAGGTCATGATGGTAAGGTATGTCTTTTTGCTGATGATACTAAGATATGTCACAGGGTTGATGTTCCAGGAGGAATAAGCCAAATGGCAAATGATTTAGGTAAACTAGAAAAATGGTCAGAATTGTGGCAACTGACATTTAACGTGGATAAGTGCAAGATAATGCATCTTGGACGTAAAAACCCAAGGGCAGAGTACAGAATATTTGATAGAGTCCTAACCTCAACATATGAGGAAAGGGATTTTGGGGTGATTATTTCTGATGACTTAAAGGTAGGCAGACAATGCAATAGAGCAGAAGGAAATGCTAGCAGCATGCTTGGTTGTATAGGGAGAGGGAAGTGCTCATGCCATTGTACAGAACACTGGTGAGACCTCACTTGAAGTATTGTACACAGTACTGGAGACCGTATCTTCAGAAGGATATTGATACCTTAGAGAGGGTTCAGAGAAGGGCTACTAAACTGGTTCATGGATTGCGGGATAAAACTTACCAGGAAAGGTTAAAAGATCTTAACATGTATAGCTTGGAGGAAAGACGAGACGGGGGGATATAATAGAAACATTTAAATATATAAAGGGAATCAACACAGTAAAGGAGGAGACTATATTTAAAAGAAGAAAAAACTACCACAACAAGAGGACATAGTCTTAAATTAGAGGGACAAAGGTTTAAAAATAATATCAGGAAGTATTACTTTACTGAGAGGGTAGTGGATGCATGGAATAGCCCAATTTTCTAAATACTTTCATTAGGTCCCTGGCCTTATCTTATAGTTAGGATAGCCTTATGCCTATCCCACGCATGCTTAAACTCCTTTACTGTGTTAACCTCTACCACTTCAGCTGGAAGGCAATTCCATGGTGGTAACCTTGTAGAGAAATATGTATAAAAGAAGCAATAAAGCCACAGCTCCGTCTGTTCCTGTTTACACTCCAAAACTGTGTGTAGTCCTGTTATTGGTGGGAAGAAGATTTGCTCCTGTGTCTGCTGTTACAGCTTGCAGGAGATTCAACGGGGAAAGTCCTTGTAAGGACTAGAGTGAATTCCCCATTTGGTTTCAGAGTTCCCAGGACTGAGTGACATCCAGTGCCTGGAGGTGTCTGCTGGAGTGTTTGGAGCCCTCAGGAAGCGCTAGGAGAATCCTTAACAGAGGTACCCAGTAGGGGTGCCAGGTGATCCGTTACAGAGGGCGTCCTCTTATTTGCAAACCATTTAACCTTTAGATTACTTGCCTAATATGTGAAAAGAAAAAGACTCCATTGAAGTGAATAAATATCTTTAGAAAGTTATAATTTAAATGTCATATGTATGTTATGTTGCAATAATAGATTAAAAGTATATCGATAATATAGAAAGAAAGATGGTTAACCCTTTCTAACCCAGTATCTATTTTGACGTCATTAGCCAAGATTCTATGTGTACTTGGCAGTTATCAAGTGGTATTTTCCTGCTATCCCGGTAAGACCGATCGCTGTAGCGTCTCCCGAAATCCCAGCAGAAGTAGAGCAATGTAGTGATTATAGCTCCCAATCCCTCCAAACATGAATCGAGACAAGAGTTGAGCGGGTTCGTACTGTACATTATGGTTTTTGGACCCTGGACCCGAACACGGACATTTCAGTGTATGTTCGGGTTCGAGTTCAGTGTTTGGCGATTTAATGGGACGTTTTGAAAGGCTGCAGGGCGGCCAATCAACAAGCGTTTGACTTGTGTGCCCTTAGAAGCCATCACAGCCATGCCTACTAATGGCATGGCTGTGATTGGCCAGTGCAGCAATGGACTTCTATTGCAGCCGTTTAATAGATAACTCCCTAATTCCCACGAAATTAGGGAGCTATCTACCAAAAGACTTAAAGACCTGAATTGGTCTTTCAGCCACATTTACTAATACTAAGTAAAGATTAGTGGTGGGGGCCAGAGGGGAGTACAGTAAGTCGTCCCCCCTCAATCTTATTTAGGACCCCCACCCACCGCTAAAGGGTGGGGGGCAGGGCGGAGGACAGTAGGTCTTCCCACCTCATTCTTATTAAGGGCCCCCACCCACCGCTCAAAGGTGGGGGTCGGGGGGGACAGTAGGGACCCCCTCATTGTTATGCGCGGCAGGGGCCATTTTAGAGGCATTTTAGTGCCCAAACGTTTGGGGGTTCAAGGTCAAATTCGATCCTGAACTCAAAGGTTCGGCCGAACCCGCTGAACCCGAACATCCAGGTGTCCACTCAACGCTAGTCGAGACTTCATGAAGGGGTAAAACGATCTGGTTTAATGCTGGCCACACTCGGCCTTTTATGATGGTCTTCCAGCAAGGGAACTCCCACAGGGGGCCTATGGAAGACTGTGACACAAAATACAGAACCAATCAGGTTACAGTACAATTATTAAACACACCAACAACAACAGTGAAACCCCACCTCTCTATCCTGGAGCTGAAGGGGCTGGAGAAAACCTAATTATGTCCAGGTAGAGAAAAACATTTTCTTTTCACATTTTAGCAAACTGTATTAAAATTAATAACTCATATTTTGCCAAACGGAGTCCCCATGTTCAACACCCCCCCAGATAGCTTGGATCTGAGCGCACAATATAGCCGAATAGCGCTCAAATCCCACGAACACAGTTCATATGCCATCGAGTTAAAGTTTTAGTTCACCGGCTGTTCGTGCAAATGAACCCGAAAAGAGTTTCATAATTTCAGCTACCTGGGGTCGGTCTCATTCGTCTGTTATGAAAGTCCCGAAAGATATAGTGTTTGTACATTAAGAGACGAATGAGGTGGAGGTTGGTAAGCTTCAGTGGTGTTCATCTGAATACGTGTCTAAAAAGAGTTCCAGGGCGTCGACGACAAACTACCGCTGTGCGTTCGACAATTTAAAATGGCCGCCACGTGTTTGCCAAACGAATGCTGACCACCCAGCCGTTCGACAATTACTTGTGGTTAACCACAATGGCTGGATGGTTAATGAGCTGCACACGACCATTGTAGGTGGTCTGGTGGTTTGGGAGTTTATTCGGTATTTTTAATAAAACGTGAAAGAGCCCAACATATGAATGCTATACGAAATATAGTCCAAGCCTCTAACAAAACAGGGGTTTTGTTACAGTAATTATTTACGTATCTCTATTCAAATCATTACATATTTACATAGAGTATAAAACAATTGTACTAAAAGTGAAAGTTAATCTCCCTATATCGTATATTAATGAATGTTTCTGCCAGATTAAAATTAAGATTGAAGCATTAACTAATGGGTAAATGTTATTCTAAGTTATCCTCAGGAACCTCAGAGCAAAGTTTCTTAGCCCAATCCATATATAGTGTTTATAAAGATATATGTTGGAACTTTAAATGAGAATTGCCATATTTTGAATTATATTATACATTACTTCTAAATAATAAATTATAAAGTATAATGGTATTAATATGGGTGAAATGGTTATTTCCTAATGAAGGGATTGGCAATGTGCTCTGTAATGGTAAATTAAGTAATTTCTTTATATTTATGAAGTTCTGAATTGCCACAAATAAAATAATAAAAGGTATACTGGTCAATCACATACATATTAGTGAATATCTTGAATGAACAGACAAGAGGCAAAGTTTCGATGAAAGTATAAACAAAACTTTACTGGGAATACAATTATCAAGCACACAAAAAAGAAACAAATACTTTAAAAACACACACTGCTATAAACAATACATTCAGGTAAGAAATCTACTTAGCTCTATTCATGGAGATTCAGCAGCTTACACAGGATAATTGAATCAGCATAACACACAGAACAATGAGGTGAGTTCCTTGCCACATGTTAAATGGATTTACATGGGCACCTCTAAAGACACCTGGCTTCTTCCGACCCAGTCATGAAACTGAAACTCTAGTTTCTGGAAACCCCTTGAATAACCTCCCATCTGGTATCCACCCACAGAGGTAACATAACCAATACCTAATGGTCATCTCTAGGAGGCGGATACTACATGTGGTCCTTTGTGAAAGGAAGTGACTTAAGAATTCTCAATACCTTCCTAAAGCACATGTCTCATTGACTATGCGGCAGCCATCTTTATTCACTCGACGTCACAGTGCTCACTAGGCCACCTATAGGTCACTTCCTCCCTAAAGCACATGTCTCATTAAATATGCAGCAGCCATTTTCTTGCTCTTAATGTCACATAGCTCACTACACCCCCTATAGGTATCATAAGTTATTGCACATGAATGGGAACACAATAATAGAACATTTATCATTGCCCATAACCAATACAATCCACCTGTTGATCCCATTACATGAGTTATAACTATAACTCATATATTTCTCGGATAGGTCTTACTTTCTTCATAGCTTGCTTTCCCACACATATAATACAATTTACAAAAAAATACAATATTATACATAAAACAACACCCACTACTACCCATTGCATTACTTTAAACCCTAAATTACCCAACCACCCAAAAGGTCCACTATCCGGTGGATTCTGGAGCTTCTTCCTGGTATCGTTTATCTTTGAAATATCATGTGTTATTGCGTCAGAGTTATTGACAATATATGAGCAGCACTCTGTCCCTACCAACGCACAAACGCCTCCTTTGGCGGCCAAGACATAATCTAATGCCAGTCTATTTTGCAACACCACTGCTCTCATTTGTACCTGCTCTTGGGATAGTTTGTTAATAGCATCCACGGTTGCATCTAAAGCTTCATCCACTAGCTTTTTTAAAGCTTCTATTCGAGTTAATGACCAATATACTCCCCAGCCGGGAAATACAATTCCAGAATTAGCTTCATGTTCTCCGATAAATGAACTCCACCGTTTATTTCTAATCATGCCTTCTGGAAAGCTATTTCTATGCCTTATGGCGGGGATGATTGATCCAATGTAACATTCTCCTTCCCATTGAGTAGGTAACCATCTATAGGCCCAATTACCACACAGAAAATACACACCTCTGGGAAGGACACTGTAACTATTATCTGGGGCCCCACTAAAACAAGTGTCCAGGAGTATAGAAATAAAGGGAAAGCTCAGTCTTTTTATTGCACCATGAGAGGTCATACTTATTACTCTCACCATTGGGCTGGAGTCTTTGACAGTCATTGCCCAATGTTGTTCATTACCATAGCCCTTTACCCAGGCAGATGTACAGTTAGAATATCCCATTTTAGTGGCATTGGCTCCATTGTTATGTGAACTGATACAAATAGCACCTTCCTGGGGGCGGTTTATAATATGCAATCTGTCCAATGATTGTGGCTTTCCTTCTTCTCGGTACCAGCCGAATCCTGTATTATTATATTGTTTTAACTCCTCCAATGTCCATGGAACACCAACATATGGGTAACTGCTCTCCTCGCTGAATGATATGGTCCCACAAATCCAGCAATCCGTATGAGTTGGAGGACCAGGGATCCGACTTGTCTATATAGCCACCAATCTGTTGGAAGGAAAGAAAACAGGGTGAGTACCTCCACTTAGTAATACAACTTTAGTGTCACCAGGTCCATTGGACAGTATTTCTCCCTTCTGTTTGACCTGCTCACCTGCTCGTGGTAGCACCCATACTTTGGAACCTGTCTGTAAGGTATTGCTTTCCTCCCATGTCACTAATACTTTCCGTGGGATCCAAATGGATACCACGCCTAATACAGTGTGTGAGAAAATCTGGCCTGGACACCCCCTGGTCAATGGGATTTCCCACAAATCTGATAACACATTTACCATCCCTGTGGTCAACCATTTATCATCTCTTAGCTCCTCTGTTAGGGCAAAGGTCACTTCAGTCCCTTCTGGTAATATCCCACCCATGGGAAGGATGTATGTAATCCATTCATCACCCTGTACAATCTCAACTAGGTTCTGGCTGACCACTTTAAATTTGTTCTTCCCCACCTGTTGGGGGAAAGATCCCTTGAACCTTAATCGAACTGACACAGTTGGTGTCCCTACCTGTCCAGTCAATCTTTCATAAGGTGAAAACTGTCCTATTGGTCTACTATTTAGTATCATAACTGCCTGCGTGATCACCCGGTCCCACCCCCTCAATGTCCTACTTGGGGATAGCTTCCGAATCTGTTCTTTTAAAAGCCCATTGCACCTTTCAATCAACCCCGAAGCTTGAGGATGATAGGGGATGTGGAAGATCCACTTAATCCCTGAGTCATTTGCCCACTGCTGTACGAGCTGTCCAGTGAAGTGGGTTCCATTGTCTGTCTGAATCTCAGATGGCAGTCCATAAGCAATCACAAAAGTCTGTAGCATCTGAAGTGTTGAGGCCTGGTTCGCATGTTTGCAGGGTAATACTTTCAGAATTCCGGAAAAGGTGTCTACAGCAGTACAACAATACATCAGCCCCCCTCTTCCTTTAGGCATGGGACCAATGTAGTCCATCTGCCAGATCTGTCCTGCTATTGTTCCTTTATTTAAATGTCCATGGGCTTGCTTCGTGAGGGGCCATTTCTTAACCTCATTGCAGGTCTCGCATACTTCTTGAGCTTGGACAATCATCTGGAGAGTTATTGGTAGTCCTCGGGCTCGCGCCCACTCTAACATAGCTGCTTTTCCTCTATGACCCGCGGTCTCATGGGCCCAGTCTGCCATCCTAAGTAATACTGGATCAACAGGTTCTGGTGTTATTTTTGCTTCTCGTATTCGGGTCAATTCATCGGCTATCTTATTCGGGTTCTCTTCTCCAGTACTGTCTTTCACATGGGCATTAACATGTCCGAGGTGTATTAATCTTGATTGGGCTGTTTTCCATATATTTTCCCATAAATCTTCTCCTCCCCATACTGTCTTGCCATGTATTTGCCACCTGTTGTTTCTCCATGTAGGCATCCATGTAACACAAGCCTTGTACACAGCCCAGCTATCTGTATAGATGTAGAGCTCTGGATCTGTGGTTTCTTCCATCAGTATGACTATGGCAGTCAATTCAGCATATTGACTAGATCCTCCTATTCCCTTCTCTTGAATCACAATTTGTTGCTGAGGGTTGTAAGCTACTGCAGTCCAATGTCGTCCTTTGTGGGTCATGGTTGCAGACCCATCTGTGAACCATGCATTTTTCTTTTGTTCTTCACCCAGTTCTCTGAATGAAGGAGCTGTCTTGATGGGTGAGGGCTGTAAAATTGGGACTTCTTGTACATTGGGATGTGAAAGTGTATCATATGTCACTAACCCAGTAAGGAGTTTGGTCAGTTCCTTCACTTCACCTGCTTGGATCCCTCCTCTTTCCTGCAGGTACCACTTCCATTTTAATAATGTCTGACTTTGTGCCACTGTTGTCTTTGCAGATAATCCTTCATCTCGTACCAATCCTGCTATTGGTAAATCTGTTTTCACTGATACTATGCTTTTCTCAGTCATTGTCTCCACATGCTGCAGTGCGAGGTATGCTGCCAGAAGATTCTTCTCCAAAGGTGTGTACCTTTGCTGAGCCCCAGTCAATTGCTTGGACCAAAACCCAATTGGTACTGCCCGCTTGCCTTTGTCTTCGCTCGGTTGCCATAGTCCCCATGATGCTACGTTGTTGTTCACCATCACATCCAATATGAACGGAGCTCCAATTTGAATCGGGCCCAAGCCCTGATGCTGTAATACTGCTTCCTTTGCTGCTTGGAATGCTGTAGCTTGATCAATTCCCCATACAAATGCTGATTTCTTTCTTGTAACATTGTATATGGGGCGTAGCAGCAATCCTAGATGCGGTATAAATGCTCTCCAGTAACCAACTGCACCTAAAAACTTTTGGGCTTCTGTTAACGTCTTAGGTTCTGGAGAGTTCTGGATTGTATCCAGCACAGGCTGAGGTATCTTCCGAACAGGCCAAGACCACATCATTCCTAGGAATTTAACTTCTTGGGTTGGACCTTGAATTTTGTCTTTATTTATTGCCCATCCCCGTCCAGTCATGTAATTCACTAGAACAGGTAATGCTTCTTTCACTTCCTCTTTAGATCCCGAGATCATGATGTCATCAATGTAGTGAAACACTGGAAGATGTAGAGTGAGGTGGCTTAAATCCCGTGCAACTAGTCCATGGCAAATCGTAGGTGAGTGTATATATCCCTGGGACAAAACTTGGAAGGTATATTGGCGTCCTTCCCAAGTGAAAGCAAATTGATCTTGCGACTCAGGTGCAATAGGAATTGAAAAGAACGCATTAGCTAAATCTATTACCGCATGCCACTCCCCGGCCTGTTTGGCAATGTTTCCCACAATGGTGATAATATCAGGGACAGCAGCACTCAATGGTGGTGCTACCTTGTTGAGTCCCCGGTAATCCACCGTCATTCGCCATGAGCCATCCATCTTCTTTACAGGGAATACTGGAGCATTGAACGGACTGACAGCTGGACGAATTACACCTGACTGTAAAAGCTTGTCGATAGTTTCACTAATTTCTCGACATCCTCCGGGCAAACAGTATTGCTTCAGTCTTACCGGGTTGCACGGAGGAGGAACAATGACAGGTGTCCAATTTGCATTCCCTCGCACAATGTCTTTTACTGGTCTGAGATAGTATGGCTTATGAGGGAATCCAAACGTGAACACCCCCCACTGTGTCTCAATTCTCTGCCCTAGTAACACATCTATTCCCAAGATATTGTCTGGCAATTCTGAAATCAAAACTTTAGCACTGAATCTTGGTCCTTTGTTAATTGACATAGCCACAACAGTTTGTACTGCTTTGGTAATTCTACCTCCTAAACCTTCTATTCTCACACAGGGTCCTGATAGCCTTGATGGATTACCATGCAGTACTGTGACTTCTGCTCCTGTGTCAACTAAAGCTAAAATCTTTGTTGGTCCTGGTCTTGTCCCCCACCACACAGTCAAAGGTACATAAGGGCGTCGGTCCCCGGCGGTTAAAGGGGACACATGTACCGCCGGAGGCCCACCATTCTGTCATTGTACAACAGCACTGTCCCAATCCATCAAATCATGTGTCATCAGATCTTTTACAGGATACAAGGATCTGACTTTACCATCACTCTCTGGCAGTGCTTGTTTCTCACTAGATGTAGTATGAGAGTAAGTCCTAGCACAATATTCTGTTGGAAACAGTGAGGACATATGTGGGTATGAATGTGGGGGGTGTTATCTTGGGCTTGAAGTGAGGGTGGGGGCACAGCATAAGGAGCACAATGTTGGAATAGAGGTATGGACAGAGGAGCTGTGTCTGTAGGCATGAGAGGAGTGTTTTTTAAATAACTAGGGGGAGGAGACTTTGGGACAAATGGGGCAGAGGGCATGGTATTGTCTGCCTGATCCTTGCATGCCAAATGTACCTGTACCTTTTTATTAGACCCTTTTTTTTTAGATTTAACCATTTTTCAAACATGGCAGGTGTTGAAATTCCATTAATTTGTTCTCTAGGTACACCAGCCTCAATCAAATCATTCCACATTTGAAAACGATTAACTCTCAGCCTTGTTTTATTCCTAAACTTTCCCTGCTTTTCTCCCCCTATTGGTTCCACCATCTCCTCCCTCGTCCTGTTAGCGGCAAACACACCTTTCCTAGGGTTAGATTCTGACTCTAATTCTCCAATTTCAGCTAAATAAGTGGTGAGCTGATGTACCTTTACATTATTCCCCAAACTGACCAGCAAAGACAATAAAGATGCCTTCATTTCCTGGGGTGCACTTTTTAAAAACCGAGACCGCATGCTGGCTGTGAATTCCTCCATGTCTGGACCTTCCCAGTTATCCTTGTTTAATCCCACCACACAACCCATAACTCTAATGCGGGTAATAGCATCCCTCGGTTTTGACCAGGGTGAAATGGGCTCAATGTCATTGCTAGATGGGAAGGCCACAATTATGGCATGCCGCACCATATCAAATAATGAAAAATTACCTCCAATCTCCCTCACCCTCCGTAATACCTGCATGAGCTGTGGATGCAGCGTCAGCTGCCCCATACATAATGCTTCCCTTGCATTCAACTGCACACTGTCAGCTCCTCCATCCCACATGTGCAATAACCATTCTCCCACATTTTCACCAACTTCATGCTTATACACCTTTGCCAGCTCCATGAGCTCTGTTTGTGTGTAACTTTTTACCACTTCATTCATCTCTTCATGTACACCATTTCTCAAACCACGCGCTCTATCTTGTAGTGTCCTCTTCCGCTGCTGTGTAATGATAGGACGGGCTTGTCGCCTGTGCACATCATTATCATCATCAGAAAAGGATACATACTCATCATCAGATGACTGTAGCGGTGCTTCAGGATCCCATATGGGGTTTGCAACCATTGCTCGCACTTTACTTACAGGCACAGGCTTTTTTCCTTTCTGTGACCTCCTGTGGTTAATCTTGCTTACCACTAAAGTAGTACATTTTTCTTCTAGGGCAGCCACCTGGCATGCATTACTACGTATACATTCTTTAGTCATAACTAATAAATCTTTTACATCCTGCAACTCTTTCTCGAGCGCTTCATTTCTCTGCACCTCGCGGCTAAGGGCCTGCACAACTATCCACCCTGTGGTGGCAGCGGCTTTCCGCACTTTTTTGGAGTATACTCCCAGGTCTAACCGTAATGCTTGAGCACCAAGTTCAGTACCAGCATCAGGATAGACAGGAGCTGCATACTTGATCAGCTCCTCAGCAATGGGTTTCCAGTTTTCTAAACTGGCCCACAATGGAATTGTCCCATACTTAGACGCCTCCTTCCCTCCTGCTCTATTACTTTTTTTAAACAGAGTAAGCATCTTTACTCTCAGGGGGAACACAAAAATGCAAATATACCAATCAAAGACAATGCTTGTTAACTATATCTCTTTTCACTGTGCAACGTGACTGTGCTATAGGCTTATTCAATCTATATACACATTCAAATATTCTATATTTAGTGATTGTGCAGTATCCTGTTCACAGCGCCAGTTGTAATGGTAAATTAAGTAATTTCTTTATATTTATGAAGTTTTGAATTGCATAAATATAAAATAATACCACAAATAAAATAATAAAAGGTATACTGGTCAATCACATAAATATTAGTGAATATCTTGAATGAACAGACAAGAGGCAAAATTTTGATGAAAGTATAAACAAAACTTTACTGGGAATACAATTATCAAGCACACAAAAAAGAAACAAATACTTTAAAAACACACACTGCTATAAACAATACATTCAGGTAAGAAATCTACTTAGCTCTATTCATGGAGATTCAGCAGCTTACACAGGATAATTGAATCAGCATAACACACAGAACAATGAGGTGAGTTCCTTGCCACATGTTAAATGGATTTACATGGGCACCTCTAAAGACACCTGGCTTCTTCCGACCCAGTCATGAAACTGAAACTCTAGTTTCTGGAAACCCCTTGAATAGCCTCCCATCTGGTATCCACCCACAGAGGTAACATAACCAATACCTAATGGTCATCTCTAGGAGGCGGATACTACATGTGGTCTTTTGTGAAAGGAAGTGACTTAAGAATTCTCAATACCTTCCTAAAGCACATGTCTCATTGACTATGCGGCAGCCATCTTTATTCACTCGACGTCACAGTGCTCACTAGGCCACCTATAGGTAACTTCCTCCCTAAAGCACATGTCTCATTAAATATGCAGCAGCCATTTTCTTGCTCTTAATGTCACATAGCTCACTACACCCCCTATAGGTATCATAAGTTATTGCACATGAATGGGAACACAATAATAGAACATTTATCATTGCCCATAACCAATACATGCTCCAAAGAGTTTAGTGGAATATAGGGAAATTGGTTAACTCAACCGTTGTGAAGGAAATTAATTTTGAATAAAAGGGGTGAAGTTAAACTCCTCATTTAAGCAATTTCGTCTAGATACGCACATGCAAAGTCCTGAAACCCCTCTAGGAGCCTATCGGCCATCCTCTGAAAAGTAGCCGGGGCATTCTTCTTCCCAAAGGGCGTAACCTTGAACTGGGCTTAACTGGGCGTAACCTTGAACCCCGAATGGGGTGACTAATGCAGACTTGGGGATAGCCGCAAGTTGTCAGGAAACTGACAGGGATCCAATACGCAGAGTGCGCACAGAAGGAGGTACGTATACCGGACCTTAGAATGGCCGGACTAACGTAAGGACAAAGCAAGAATAGTCAAAAGGTAAGCCGAGGTCAAGGGAGCCGGAGGACAGGTAAGCGAGATACAAGCCGAGTCAAAGGAGAGGAGAGGACAACAGGACAAAAGACAAGCAAGGGTCAAAACCGGAAACACAAGATAAAGAACGCGCTGAGTGACTAGCAAGCTAGAACCACGACAGGGCAATGAGCAGTAGTAAAGGTTTCCTTTAAATACCCTGTTACCTAAATAGAGACCACGCCCCCAAAAGGTCCGGAATAGCGGTTCCCGGCACTTTATGCAAATGCCGACGTCATGACGTCGACGCTAGCCGTCGCGTCATAAAAGGGGGAGGAGCTAGCGCGGCCGGCGCGAAAACGGCCGAAATATGCCGAAATGCTAGGGGAAGGGAGCCCCTAAGCAGAGAGGATGTCCTCCCTGGATACATCACCAACAGGTACCCTGACACAAGTACAGGAGAGTTAAGTAATTCCCCCATGGCATGGGGTAGGCGTCGGTGATAGTGCGGTCATTGAGCCTCTGGTAGTTTACACAAAAGCACGTGGTGCCGTGGCGCTTAGGTACTAGCACTACCGGAGATGCCCAAGGACTCTGCGGGGGTTCTATAATCCCTAACATTAGCATATCCCTTATTTCAGTGAGCATATTCTCTCGAACTGCCTCAGGGATACAAATGGGTTGCTGCCGTAGGGAGGTTTCTCCCTGGGTTTCTACATGATGTACCGCAGCGGAGGTGTACCTGGGTATGGCGGACAACATCCCCTGGTATTGAGACGCCTCACTCTTCTCTAAGGGGGTTAGGTTTTGACCCAAGCTCACTTGGCCAATAGTACACAGGGAGGTGTCAAGTAAATCAGGGAGGGGGAGACCTTCACGATCCTCGGAAGAGGGAGCACGTACTGCGGCCACATCTCCGGTTCTTTCAAAATAGGGCTTGAGCATGTTCACATGAAAAGCTTTGGTCAGCCTTTCATCTGAACACTGGCCCACAAGGTAGGTGGTGTTGGTTGCCCTTCACAACTTCCTCAGTTCAAACGAGGACAACTGTTATTAAAATGCCCCTGCTGTTTGCAGTAGTGACACACAGTGGGGGGTCATGGGACTGATGCTGGGCCTTGTGGGATGTTGCCATATGGTGCTCTAGGTGGTGCAGGGGTCGATGGCACCTGGTAGGTGGGTCTGAATGCTGGTCTGCTTCCACCCGGTTCTCGCCTTCTGTTATCCTGGTGCTCATCAGCTTACCTTCTTTGGCAGTCCGTTTGTACTTCCTGGAGATGTTAGCAAATCTCTCTGTAAGAGTCTGTCTCCCTCTTCCTGGTCTTTCTGTCCTTGTCTGGCTTAGGACATGACTTGCAGGGCTGCTTCTGTTGATGGATTGGGTCCCAACATGCTGATATCTAACATCTTTCTGCATCTCGGTTTCTTCCACATGCTTCATTTCTGTATTACTGGTTCCGTCGCTCTGTAATAATTCCGCAATTAACGTGGCTTTGGTCTTGTTACTTGCCACTATGCCCCAAGCTTCCAGTAAATCTTTCAATGTGGATCTTTTTAGTAGCTGGTATTGCTGATCCATTCATTGCCTTTCTTGGTTCGGGACGTCAATTCAGGATTCGAATCCCACCGCATGCCACCATTTGTAAGGAAACCTGGTATATCCAATACCTATTCAGTAGTTTCCTCCCGAATGGCCAGAGTAGCAGTGATTATAACTCTCCGTTAGACGAAATAAAGTAAGTGATTTCCATACGAATAACAGCTTCCCTTAGTAAAGCAGACAGGTAACCAAAACATCAGCCGAAGTCTAGATGAAGGGTATAACAGAATTGAAGTTTAATGATACCACACTGGCTTTTATGCAAGTCCCAGTGGAAGGGGACCTCCCACCAGGGACGTATTAACCGCGAGGCAAACAAGGCATTTGCCTTGGGCGGCATTTTTCAGGGGGCGGCAAAAAACGCCGCCCCCCAAATGCCCAGGGCAGATGCCTTGTTAGCCTTGCGGCTAACTGACATCCCGGGCGGCCGGCGAGGGAGCACTTCCCATGAGCTGACTGCTCAGCTCCCTCGCGCACCGCAAAGTGAGGCTGGGAGCCGGAAGATGGCGTCATCTTCCGGTTCCCAGCCTCACTCTGCAGCCGACGCGCGAGGGAGCTGAGCAGTCAGCTCATGGGAAGTGCTCCCTCGCCGGCCGCCCGCCCGCCCGCCAGCGCTGCCCGCCCTGCAGCCACTGGACCACCAGGGAGAGAGACCCCCCCCAGCACTCCCAAAGGTAAGGAGGTTGGGGGGGGGGATTTAAATTAAAAAAAAGTTAATGTGTGTGTGTGTTTGTGAGTGAGTGTGTGTGTGTTTGTGTCTGTGTATGTGTCTGACTGTGTGTGTGTGTTTGTGTCTGACTGTTTGTGTCCGTGTATGTGTCTGACTGTGTGTGTGTGTGTGTGTGTTTGTGTCTGACTGTGTGTGTGTATGTGACTGTGTGTTTGTGTGTGTGTGTCTGACTGTGTGTGTGTTTGTGTCTGACTGTGTGTGTGTGTGTGTGTGTCTGACTGTGTGTGTGTGTGTGTTTGTGTCTGACTGTGTCTGTGTATGTGTCTGACTGTGTGTGTGTTTGTGTCTGACTGTGTGTGTGTGTGTTTGTGTCTGACTGTGTATGTGTGTGTGTGTGTGTGTGTCTGATTGTGTGTGTGTGTGTGTGTTTTGTGTGTATGTGTCTGACTGTGTGTGTGTTTGTGTATGTGTCTGACTGTGTGTGTGTGTTTGTGTCTGAGTCTGACTGTGTGTGTGTGTGTTTGTGTATGTGTCTGACTGTGTGTGTGTGTGTATTTAGAAGGTGGGGCGGGGGGAAGGGTTGGGTGGGGGTGGCGCAGGGGGGAGGGGGGCGCCTGAGATTTGTCCTGCCTAGGGCAGCACAAAACCAGGATACACCACTGCCTCCCACAGAAACATAAATCATACAGCCAATCATAAGTAAAGGAATACTTAAACACTCCCAGTACCAACATATAATTCCCTCTTCTCGACCTGGAGATAATCAAGTCTGATAAAGTAATAACTGAATTATCTCCAGGCAGAAAAATCACAATTTTACCCAACTTTTAAAACACCCCATAAAACACAAGGTATCCCCACAAATCGAGACCAATCTCGCCACATTGCATTGGAGAAGCCTGGTTGCTTGTCTGTTGCCTTTGGATTATGGCCAAATGTTAAAAGGCTTGATTTTCCCCTGCAAAGACATGAAAGCCGGATCATTTGGTGCTTGCCCTGTTTGAGCAGTGATACCCCAGATAGCTATGCCATGGAGCCCATTCGTATAATGAAAGACTATGGGAAAGACTTTGGCTCCATGGCAATTGAACTTTATGTGAGTGCTCTGAGCGCCATTCAGTATTAATGTGCGCTCAGATCTGAGCTATCTGGGGATATGTTGAATGTACCTGTTTTGTGCAATGGCTGCACAGTTATATGTTTTTATGTGTTTTATTGTCTTTTGCTGCCATGTGTTCAATGGAGTTTTGCCTCTGTCCTTGGAGATAATTGGATTACTTCCCAATTATCTCCAGGACAGAAGACTCTGTGGAACTGGTTTTGGGCAGAAAAGCCATGCTTCCTTTGGTCACAAAGGACTACGATCTATCTTTTGAACCACTGGACCAATTTGTTTGTATTTTGACGTATGTTTGTATTTGGAGTATGCTGATTCTGAAAATTTAAGTTTTATGTGAATGTGATGCATACTTTTCAAGTTATGAATAATGTGGAAAAATTGTATTTCTCTGCTTGTTATAATTACATTACCCATTGTGTAAGGTGATTGAATCACAGGCAGAGGGGAGGATTTTGTGTGGGAGTGTCTGAGTGTATTGTATGTGTTTATTGGTTGTCTTCCAAAACCCTGTGGGTGGTACTAATGTGTATATAAGAACAATAAACCCACAGCTCTGACTGTTGACTGTTTGACCCCTCAACACGGAGCTTTGTCTCGTTCTTGGGGGGGATTTACTGTATGCTGTTCCAGTTTGACTGCTAGGAGTGTAAACCTATTCGTATGATTTTTCCTATTCAGCTGTTTACAGCATTCGTATGGTTTCCTGTTTGGCGGATTGGTGTTCTGCAGTAGCTGTGCCTGTGTCTCTGGAACTGCTTTTAACCCCTTTTATGCTGAGGGTGCTGTTACAATTGGTGGCAAGCGGCGGGATCATTCCTACAGCCAGAAGGACAGCTACAGGAGACACCATTTCTTTGGATTTTACAAATTGAGGGCAACGCATGTCTGAGTACAGTGACCATGACAGCATCAGGATGGAACCAGCAGTGGAGTCCGATGAGGGTGTCATGGATGACCGAGATGCAGTTCGCAAAGGCATCTGGTACCAGGCACTGGGCATTGTGGAGTACCAGCGGGGCGAGAGACTCCCCAAGGAAGACCAGCGATTGCAGAAGCGACTAGCCCTGCAGATGCCCTTCCTGGGAGAGCAGCCCCTGGAGGAATGGGTGAAGGAGCTCTGGGTATGGCAGGAGATTTGGCTGGAAGATGCCTACCAGGCACTCTGGTGGTATGGGGCACAATACCTGCCCTGGACAGCCGAGCATAACAAGCCAGAGGAAGAGGAGTTTTATGGTCCTGGTTTGTTATTGGAGGTTTTTTCAGAGCCTGAGTTTGGGAGCTCTACAGAAACTCGGTTCAGTGATCTCTTGGAGTGGAGGGAGAGCAGGTATGACTGGGACGACACTCATGAGATTGAGCAAGACCTGGTCCACCTAGTGACCCGAGAGATGGAGCTGGAGCAGGGCTATCAAGATCTGTTCCACTCCAGTGAGAAGGCTTAGCAAGGAAACGGAGAACCAGATCCAGACCCATTCAGCTTGGCAGATATTGCAGAATGTTACTGGGAAGAACCCCAGGTGGCTGGTGGAGATGGGACCGAGGTCTCTCCACCAGTCCTGCAGGGAATTGGGAGCCCAGTCTCCATTCCCCAGTGGGAGATATTGCAGGGAATTGGGAGCCCAAGCTCCATTCCCCAGCGGCAGGCTGAGTTTCAGGGGACAGAGATAGTTGGTCCTGCAGGGAATAGAGAGCCCAGTCTCCTTTACCCAGCAGCAGGACTCTGTATTGGGAGCAGAGACAGTTGGTCTCTCTTCCCCGCGGCTGGAAGTATATATGGGAGAGGAGCTTGTTACCCCCTCTCACCAGCGGCAGCTCAATGTACCAGGGGGAGACAGCAAGCCCCACAACCGTGCAGATGGGACCGTGGTCTCTGCACTTACAGCACAGGGGGTAGGGGCAGTCGGACCTGCCCCCCAGCGACAGGGCTGTTTAGCCAAAGGAGAGACAGTCGGTCTCCCCCTCCAGCAACCGAGCAATGTAACCAAAGGGGAGACAGTCGGTCTCCCCCTCCAACAACCAGGCTACTCCCGTAGTAGCGCTGGCACAAGGGCAGAGTACAGCTGGTCTCTGCCCACTCAGCAATCCACCAAGTCAGCTTACCAGTCACCCACACAGCCGTGGTGAGGCACCTGGACATGGACAAAGTTCTCCTCTACCCAGGTGTAGTAACCATTAATTGTGGGTGGGCTGTATTACTGTTTGTGTGTTGTGGGTGGGCTGCTGGACTAACAAGGGCACTGACCGGCACGAGGTCGGATACCCTGTTAGTCTGTTTGGAAAAGGGGAGAGATATGACTAGACCAATCTTGCCACATTGCATTGGAGAAGCCTGGTTGCTCGCCTGTTGCCTTTGGATTATGGCCCCATGTTAATAGGCTTGATTTTCCCCTGCAAAGACATGAAAGCCGGGTCATTTGGTGCTTGCCCTGTTTGAGCTGTGATACTCCACATAGCTATGCCATGGAGCCCATTCGTATAATGAAAGACTATGGGAAAGACTTTGGCTCCATGGCAATTGAACTGTATGTGTGTGCTCTGAGCGCCATTCAGTAATAATGTGCGCTCAGATCTGAGCTATCTGGGGATATGTTGAATGCACCTGTTTTGTGCAATGGCTGCACAGTTATATGTTTTTATGTGTTTTATTGTCTTTTGCTGCCATGTGTTCAATAGAGTTTTGCCTCTGTCCTTGGAGATAATTGGATTACTTCCCAATTATCTCCAGGATAGAAGACTCTGTGGAACTGGTTTTGGGAAGAAAAGCCATGCTTCCTTTGGTCACAAAGGACTATGATCTATCTTTTGAACCACTGGACCAATTTGTATGTATTTTGACGTATGTTTGTATTTGGAGTATGCTGATTCTGAAAATTTAAGTTTTATGTGTATGTGATGCATACTTTTCAAGTTATGAATAATGTGGAAAAATTGTATTTCTCTGCTTGTTAAAATTACATTACCCATTGTGTAAGGTAATTGTATCACAGGCAGAGGGGAGGATTTTGTGTGGGAGTGTCTGAGTGTATTGTATGTGTTTATTGGTTGTGTTCCAAAACCCTGTGGGTGGTACTAATGTGTATATAAGAACAATAAACCCACAGCACTGACTGTTCACTGCTTGACCCTCAACACAGAGCTTTGTCTCATTCTTGGGGGGATTTACTGTATGCTGTTCCAGTTAGACTGCTAGGAGTGTAAACCTATTCGTATGATTTTTCCTATTCAGCTGTTTACAGCATTCGTATGATTTCCTGTTCGGGGGATTGGTGTTCTGCAGTAGCTGTGCCTGTGTTTCTGGAAGGGAAGATCTACTAAACGGCTTTTAACCCCTTTTATGCTGAGGGTGCCGTTACAGTGACCAACATATCGAAAAATCACCCAGATCAGTTCAGGGGTTTTCGAATTTCATGGATGTCTTAGTTGACCGGTTACCCATGAGGCTCCTGCCGAAAACCGTTCCACTAGTTTTGGTGGTTTATTCAGTCTCCAAAAGTGAATAAATCCACAAACGGCTCCCCCTGGCTCTTAGCAGCGATTGTTCCCCTCATTTGAATGCACAAAAGTACCAAACAGCGCTCTCATAGCGGTTCGGGAAACGAAGATCCAGTGTTCCTACTTTGGGACTGGTGTTTGGGAAGTCGAGTGTCCGATTTTAGTTCCAGACACTCGACGGCCAAGTCTTGCTGCCTTTGTTTGCACAAACAAGATGGCTGCCATTTTCTCAACCACGTGGGGTCCGACAATACGAACGCCAGCTGCACAGAGAGAGGGCTTTATTGAGGTACACTTTGAAGTTAACGAGCCAGGGGGGTAGTCTCTGTTCAGTAATTACAGCTACCGAATGAAAGGAAATAAAATAAACAAAATAACTTAGTGATTTCTTCACAACGTCTGTGTTCAGAAATGTATAAAAGCATGCCATCTGGCCATATTAAATGTTTTCCAGCGTGTACTCCCATAACTATGTGTCATCTGGTTACTGGGAGGGGAAAGGACTAATCACTATTTCAGTGTGGAGGATTCAACTGGGAAAGTCCTTGTAAGGACTAGAGCTCCCAGTACTGAGTGTTGTCCAGTGCCTGGTGGTGGATAGAGCGGGTTCCCCATTCGGCTCCAGGAGGGAGAGGTTCAAGGACCCCAGTCAAGCCACCGCGACTTTGGGCAGAAGTGCTGCGGCTTGTCCCCTGTTCTAGCTAAGAAACGGTCCTTGGTGGAGGTACCCAGCCAGGGGTACAGGGAGCTCCATTACAGCTACTCTCTAACATATTTAAAAGATTCAGAAGTGTAGCGCTTTTAAATATGAAAGGTTTACTTTAATAACAGTGGCTATGGTAGTTTTACAAAGTTACAATTTTTCAGACCTAAAATGGATGCAAATAATACTGTGATGGGTTGTCAACATGGTTCATTATTTTTCAATTTAGTAGGCCTGAGATCTCCATGAGGCATATACAAGTACAGGTGTTTGTTGTATCTGTTAGTTACATGTAGCTAAGATACTGTCATCAATGTACTGAGCATGTGCATCAACTGTAGTCACAGTCCTTTGTCCTTAAAAGGAGTCATACGGTCTGCCCATATTAGGTGAGCCTGATTATCCGGGTTCACTGATTGGTCTAAGGGTATGTGTGAGTGGAGCTTTGAATGGGAGGAGTTATTGTTAATAAATAGCCTGTGCAAACTATGCTCTGGGCTCATACCTTTTGAACACAAGTTCAGTGTGAGACCCGATCGGTGTGTAAATAAAAGACCTGTTACTTCCTGAAGACTTGTGTCCATATCTCTGAGTGTGGCCTCTGCTGTTTGTTTCTGTTATTCCTCCGGTAACAATACCACATGGTGCAGTTTATAAATAAAACGATAGTAATGATAAAATGGAGTTTATAAATAAAACACTCACAAACAGGGAGCTATAAAACCTAGATATTTTCCTTTAGGACGGAACACACATTTCATATAGGGGTGGGTCGCCTAAACGGACCCAGAAGCGATCCACACTGGAGCTAGGTTTTATAGCTCCCTGTTTGTGAGTGTTTTATTTATAAACTCAATTTTATCATTACTATCTTTTTATTTATAAACTGCACCATATGGTATTATTTGCAACTATTTTAGGTCTGAAAAACTGTAACTTTGTAAAACTACCATAACCACTGTTATTAAGGTCAATCTTTCGTATTTAAAAGCGCTACACTTCTGAATCTTTTAAATCTTGTTGGTGGTTTTGGAGAAGTCACACTTCTTGGTATCAGCTGTGTAACGGACCGTTTTGCACACAAGGGGTAAAAACCGTTTAGGCGATCGGCCCCCTTTCCAGAGATCCAGGCACAGCTACTGCAGAACACCAAAACTCACGAACTGGATACAAAATAGCACTCCAACTCCCGAACTGGAACCTCCCAAATAGCTGCTAGCAGACGAACAGGAAAAGCAGACGAACAGCTTACACTCCTGGCAATCAGTCTCTAACAGCATACAGTGAATCCCCCCAAGAACGAGACAAGGCTCCGTGTTGAGGGTCAAGCAGTGGTCTGAGGTGCTGGCACACCCAGCCTGGTTTTTATTACAGTGTTTCAAATACAGGACCACCCACAGGGAGGGATAAAACAACCAATCATATCACAGTTACATCCCACATATTCCCTCCCCTTATCCTGAGAGGAAACTCAATTATACAAACAGTTAAAACATACTTTCTACCCAACTTTCATAACTCCAAAACCATACATCACATTCACATAAAATTACATATTCTCAATCAATCCATTCAGGGGAACAACATATTCAAAAATGGCACAAATCAGACAAGGGGTTCAAAAGTTAGTAAAAAGTCCTTTGTGACTAAATGAAGCATGGCTTTCTGGCCCAAACCAGTTTCAGAGTCTTCTATCCTGGAGATAAGTAATTGAATTATCTCCCAGGACAGACACAAGACTCCATTAAGCACATGGTTGCAAAAAGACACAAAGCACTTTAAAATACATAAAGTCCCATTTATACATAAAACACAGACATTTCACATATCCCCAGATAGCTCAGGTCTGAGCGCACATTATTAAGTGAATGGCGCTCGGACCACACAAATACAGTTTAATCACCATGGAGCCAAAGTCTTTACAGTCAGTTTCATACGAATGGGCTCCATGGGATTCCCATCTGGGGTATAACACATTCAAACAAATCTACTGAAACCCAGGCAGAAAAGCACGAATGAAGCTTTTCTGCAGGTAAAAAAGATGTCTTTTAAACAGGGGGCCATAGTCCAAAGGCAGCAGGCGAGCAACCAGGCTTCTCCAATGCAATGTGGCAAGATTGGTCTCGTCACATCTCTCCCCTTTTCCAAACAGACTAACAGGGTATCTGACCTCCTGCCGGTCAGTGCCCTTGTTAGTCCAGCAGCCCACCCACAACAAATAATCAACAGCACAGCCCACCCACAATAAATGGTTACTACACCTGGGTAAAGGAGAAGCTTGTCCATGTCCAGGTGCCTCACCACGGCTGTGCTGGGTACGGGTACGCTGACTTGGTGGGTTGCTGCGTGGGCAGAGACCAGCGGCACTCTGCCCTGTTGCCAGCGCTACTGGGAGGGTAGCCTGGTGGAAGCCTGGTTGTTGGAGGGGGAGACCGACTGTCTCCCCTTTAAATACACCGCTCTGCTGCTGCTGCTGGAGACTGACTGTCTCCCCTTTAGATGCACAGTCCTGCTGCTGGAGACCGACCGTCTCCCCTTTGGTTACCCATCTCTGCTGCTGGAGGGGGAGACCGACTGTCTCCCCTTTGGCTAAACAGCCCTGTCGCTGGGGGGCAGGACCGACCGTCCCTACCCCCTGTGCTGGCAGTGTAGAGACTACGGTCCCATCTGCACGGTTGTGGGGCTTACTGTCTCCCCCTGGTACATTAAGCTGCCGCTGGGGAGAGGGGATAACAGGCTCCTCTCCCATACATACTTCCAGCTGCGGGGGAGGGAGACCGACTGTCTCTGCTCCCAATACAGAGTCCTGCTGCTGGGGAAAGG